GCACAGTACTGTTTGAGTTGAGCTGAAAAAGGAAGAAGGAAATGCGTGAAACTGTGAAGAAACCTTGTGTTGCTGCTGCTACTGTTGTTGTTGCTGTTGCTACTACTATGACGAAGAAAACTAGTCCGGAAGAAGATGGGGACGTGATAATCATCCCTCCGTTGTGTACATCAGCTAATCGGTCAAGATTACAAGCTGGGTCACGTCGCATTACGCCGACGAATGATGATATGGCTGAGCTCCGGCAGCTGCCGAACGGAGATCTGTATACTGGGACATTTTTGGGAAAAGTGCCGCATGGTAATGGGAAGTATTTATGGTCTGATGGGTGTATGTATGAAGGTGAGTGGAGAAGAGGGAAGGCGAGTGGTAAAGGGAAGTTTTCGTGGCCTTCGGGGGCGACTTATGAAGGGGATTTTAAGGATGGGAGAATGGATGGGTATGGGACGTTTATCGGAGCTGATGGGGATACGTATCGGGGTTGGTGGGCAGCAGATCGGAAACATGGGTTTGGAGAGAAGTTATATGCTAATGGGGATTTGTATGTTGGTTCTTGGAAGTGGAATTTGCAAGAAGGGGAAGGGAGGTATGTTTGGGGAAATGGGAATGAGTATATTGGAGAATGGAGAAAAGGGGTTATGTTTGGTAAAGGGGTTTTGATTTGGGCAAATGGGAAAAGATATGAAGGGGATTGGGATAATGGGATGCCTAAAGGAAATGGTGTTTTAAGTTGGCCTGATGGTAGGACTTGTTATACTAGTGGTTCATGGGGTGATAGTAATTCATCCAAACAAGAATTTAGTACTGGTGGTGGTAATGGTGGTCAGGTTCTAAGGAGATCTTCTGTGACGATGAATGTGCGTGAAAGGAATGTTAATTTACCGAGGATTTGTATATGGGAATCTGATGGTGAAGCAGGAGATATTACTTGTGACATAGTTGACAATAGGGAGGCTTCTTCTATGTTTGTTCCTAGGAATGATGATGAGGAGGATGAGGATGATGATGATGATGAAGAGAGTGAGAGTTCTGAAGGAGATGAAAGTGGGGATTTTCGGAAGAGTCCTTGCCACTCTGAAGTTGTGGAAATGAAGAAGCCGGGGCAACCAATAACCAAGGGACATAAGAATTATGATTTGGTGGTTAGTCTTCAGCTAGGTATTAGGTAATGCTGCCTCTTATTGCTCTCTTCAGCATTTAGTTCATGTTTTTTGCATTTTAAGAACCTTATGTAGGTGGTTATGTATTCATATATATGCAGGTATTCTACTCAGAAGCACGCCTCAATTACCCGAGAACCAAAGAATGGGGATTTCGATCCTAATGAGAAGTTCTGGACAAGGTTTCCACCTGAGGGTTCCAAACTCACACCACCCCATCAGGTTGTGGACTTCAAATGGAAGGACTACTGTCCCGTAGTTTTCAAGTATGTTTAGTGGAATCCCGGATCCAGCCTTCTCTACCTTTTAGTGGAACAGATTGAATTGTCGTTATTGTTTAGCTAATTAATTGTTGTCTCCTTTTCGTTTATGTTGTCAGGAGTCTTAGGGAGTTGTTTGGAGTAGATCCAGCTGAGTACATGCTAGCTATCTGTGGAAGTGATGCACTTAGGGAACTATCTTCCCCTGGGAAAAGTGGCAGCAACTTCTATCTTACTCAAGATGACCGATTTATCATCAAAACTTTAAAAAAGTCCGAAGTTAAGGTCAGTGACTCCGAGCATCTCAATACCTTTTCCTTTTAGGGTAGGAATGAAGAGAGACAGCTGTTAGTTATTTGAATGAGGCGCGCTATTCGATATATCACTTACACTCTTGCTTTACTCTTTAGCAACACATTGATGGTTGAGAAAATAGGATTGCTTTTACTGATTTTCCATGTTGCTCAGGTGTTCATTAGAATGCTTCAAAGTTATTATCGGCATGTTCGTCAGTACCGAAGCTCCTTGGTGACAAAGTTTTTTGGTGTACATTGTGTTAAAATGGTTGGATGTCAAAAGGTATGTTTGAAATCCCTTTAATGCTATACAATATCTGGATTTCTGAAGAAGATCAAGTATAGTTCCTCATGCAGTCATTTCCTTGGAGTTCTTACATTCACTTATTCAATGTATAAACCAGACACGTTTTGTTGTTATGGGGAACCTGTTCTACTCTGAACGTGTGATCCATAAGCGCTTTGATTTAAAGGGATCCTCTTATGGCCGTACAACTGATAAGCCAGGAGGAGAGGCCGATGAGACTACTACGCTTAAAGACCTCGATCTCAACTTTGTCTTTCAATTGCGACAATCTTGGTATAAAGAGCTTATAAGGTGATAAATACCTTTGTCCAATTTTCTTTTGTTGTTGTCTTTATATTTATAGAATCTGACTTTAGTCTTGTGGTTCTCAGACAAATTGATATAGATTGTCAGTTTCTGGAAGCTGAGAATATCATGGATTACAGTCTTTTGATTGGTGTTCATATCTGCAATTATAGTAACAATGGCGAGATGAATTTGTCACCTTATGGTAACAATTCTGCAAACTTTTCTTCATCCAGATTGCAATTATTACATATTTTTTCTGCTTCATAATATACTTTTTGTGCAACTTGGTCGCACGACTCCTGAGAATACTCACTTATATACTGTTAGGCAAAGCTGAGGCTCAAGATTATTGCTTATGTGATGCAGAAAGTCCTGATAAGGGACAGATCATTGACAAAAGGTATGCCCTGTATGCTTTCTTCTTTGGTTCCCCAACTTTAAAGGCGTTCTCTCAATCTTTTCCAATCAATATAAGAAATTCAATAGTATGGAAATCTGAACACTGGGTAGGCATGTTCTCTTCTGATACCAAAAAGCACTTCATTTTCAGAAAGTGTTCAGCTGTAGTTTCTAATTCTTCTCTTCATGCTTGACCAGCATAAAGGAACAAATATGAAATATGCTTACAGAGACCTACCTCAGCAATGTGGAATTTTTTTTAATTTGCCTCCATTCTCGCTATGTGCTTGATACACAGATATGTTCAAGCGGTCTCTTTTTGGGTCACTGTTGTAGTCATTCATCTACTTCTCTTTCTTGCGCATGCAAACATACTTTTGGTCGTAGTGACAGAATCCAACAAGTGAAATGTTCGTACTAAAAAGACATTGTTCATCATAGTGCACCTATTTAAGATCCTTGAACAATTAAAGAACCATTAAGATTGATATTTTTTCCTTGACTGCTGAACTGTGGATGCTTGTAAAAAATGTGTCAAGTTTTTAGCTACTTGATGCGTGAACTGTCCAAGCATCAAGGTGACTTGGGATTTTGTTATACAAATAACCTCTCCTTAGAAAAAAAAAAGTTATACAAATATCCTCTACATATATACCATAAGGTCTTGGTTATGATAGCAAAGACTGCTAAAAGTTTGGAACCTTTATTGATCACTCGTTGAATATAAGCTACTGCTTCCGCATAAACTTTCTACCTTTATTAGTGCAGTTGTGTAGTTACTAAATTGTTGTTTGATTTCTATATCCCACGTGTAGTTAATCTTCTAACCTTGATCAACACCTTGCATGTGGCTTTTATCATATCCTATGAATTCATTATTTTTCAACTTTGAAGTAGCAATGCAAATAGAACCTCTTTCGAAAATTGCAAGAATGTTAAGAATTTCAACATGGCTCTTGTGTTGTCTCAGGAATTCACCTATAAGTTCAGCTGCAAATGTGCCTGCAAGGGCGATGTGTGTGACAAGGAGTGGAAGTGAGTCAACTTCTGAACAGGGTGGCTGTGAGGCTAATAATGCTATCCTTTGCCTGGGCATCATTGACATTCTTCAAGATTATGATATCAGCAAAAGACTAGAACATGCATACAAGTCATTTCAGGTGGATCCCACTTCAATATCTGCTGTTGATCCAAAGCTCTACTCTAAAAGATTTCGAGATTTTATAAGTAGAATCTTTAAAGTAGACGAAGGGTAAGGATCATGGAAAGAGCATGTAGATAAGCTTATGGAGACGGGCAAGTGAGATACAAGAAGAGACTGGAATTAGTTGAATCGGTTAACGCCCTTGTTTGCTGATTATATGATGACTGGTTTTTGTGGAGATTTTGGCCATTGGTAAAGTGTGAATGAATGGTCTGATGAAGTTGTTGATGCCCAATTTTATTTTATCCCCTTTCCCTCCCTTGCTATATATGTCAAGGATGATCAAGCTAGGTAAGTTATGTATATCATTTTTTATTTTTTTTCTCTTTTACCTTCCTTTTGGTCACTCTCTAGTTGAGTTGAGTGAACATAAAGATTTTGATCAAATGTACAGTAAAGGAAATCTTTTTTGGTAGTATTTGTAGTTACTGTGTTCCACAACGAAATTTAATGCTTAGTTTCCTTGTTTAATTTGTGTTAGCAATGACTTGTAGATTAATGGAAGTTGAAGAAGTGTGTTATCTATCATTTGCCTTAAGTTTGTGGCTATTTATTTTACATATTTGCCTTGGACATTAATGGAGTTCCAACATGAACATGGTGATTTTGAATCACCTTACGTTAGAAGGGTATGAATGATGCTAAAGTATAACGGAAGGTGAACTTATGACATCTCATGTTGAATGCTTCATTTTTGAAGAGTCCGAACAACTTTATGAGTGATTCATACTCATAGGCATCTAAACACCCCCCTATGAAAACCAACAACTTTTCTGTAACTAAAAGATAAAAGAATTGCTCTTAAATTTATAGAATATGTACAAGAAATTGAATAAATTACAACTTATATTTATACTCTTTCTACTGCCTCACAGAAGAGGTACAAACATCATATTACAACTAAAGTTTTCAAACAGTAGCATAACATATTGAACTAAAAAAGCAGATTTACTCCGTGTTGTTTAGACTCTCCAAAAATAATGTCAAAAGTAGGTTGGATCTTCCCAAAGCTATGCACTTTTGGAGGACCAGACACGAATGTAACAACATTTTTGTAGTGTTTGAGCAACGTTTGATTTACTAGTGCTATCTTGGACCTGAGACTTGCTGTGAAGACATATAAGAGAAGGAATTGTAAGAGCTACTAGTAGTACTGCTACGGTTCCTGCTTTGTTGATGTAACTCAAACACATTAACCTCTTGATCCCCATCGATAGTTGATGCTTCAGTGAATCTACGACCATAAAATCGTAGAAAATTGAGTGATTGAACCTGTGGCGTAGCCAAAGGCAACACACCTTCTAACATGCCAACAACATTGGCCATTGTTGGTCTCAGAGTTGGCTCTTCATGCAAACAACACAAAGCCACACGTACTAGCTTCTCGACTTCCTCACTTTTGACACTCCCCAGAACACGAGGATCCACTAGCTCCAGGTACTTTTTCTGTTCATGCATTTCCAACGCGAATAATGGGAAGTAGATTGGCTGATTTGCTGAGGCAAGAGACGATGGAGAAAGCCTGTTCCTTTCACTACTTTCGCTTTGAGAAGTAGTGTCATTTGGTGGTTGGAACGAGGAGTTCTTCTTCCCTCGTACTATTTCTAGTAGCACCATTCCGTAGCTGTAGACATCTGATTTCTCCGTTATGGCTGAGCTAGTCAGCCATTCAGGAGCTAAGTAGCCTCGAGTTCCTCTCATCGTGGTAAACCAACTAGACTGCTCAGAATTAAGAAGCTTGGAAAGCCCGAAATCTGATATTTTTACTTGCAGGTTGTCATGGAGGAGTATGTTCTCTGGCTTCACATCACAATGTATGATCTTCTGCTCACAACCACCATGCAGGTAAGCAAGCCCACGTGCTGTTCCAAGCGCGATTTCATATCTGGTATGCCAATCTAAGGCAGGTCCAAGTCCAAAAAGGGTTCGATCCAATGAGCCTCGATTCATATATTCATACACCAGAAACCTTTCTCCCCTATGTGCACAAAATCCTTTCAAACTGACCAAATTAACATGGTGAACTCTCCCAATAATCGCGATCTCAGTGCAAAACTCCCTATTTCCGTGAGCCCCGAGAGCATTCATCTTCTTGACAGCAACAACAGCTCCATCAGAAAGTGTACCTTTATATACTGTTCCAAATCCACCAGTACCAATTTGATTTCTAAAACACTCCGTAGCTACCCGAATCTCCTCATGATCAAATTTCACAGGCAACCCCAGTATGGAAATGTTATCAAGCTCAGCAAACAAAGAAGAATCCGTCCGTCCAAACTCTTTCCCTGAAATCTGCATCAATCTTTTTCTTCTCATCAACCACATAATCCCAGCCATCATCACAATGATCAGGAAAAGCCCAGAAGAAGGAAGTAAAACCAAAGCAACAACGGGTAATCTTGACCTCTTGTCACTTGAGTTGTCATTTGGATCAAATGATGACGGTTCAGAAATGACCTTAACGTATCCCAATCTACCTCTTCCGTTACCAGAATCCGAGCCCCTCAAAATCGAACCAAGAAAATTTTCAATCATATAACATGACCCCGACGACTGATCATGAAAAACACTCAAGCAAGAACAATTCTTAGAACAAAGATCTTGACAAGCAGATACATTAACACCACGCTTCACAGGTTCGATAAAATCATTAGCAAAATAGTCCATACCATTCTCTAGCCTCAAGTACGAAACACGATTTCCCAATTCAGTTACATTCATATTCAAAGATGCATTACAAGAAACTGGCATTACCAGATTTCTATCAACTGGAGCACAACTACCATTCACCTCAGAACTAACACGAAATCCCGGTGGGCAAGAACAGCTCCCCTCATCACAAACTCCAAGCTTCTTGCAAGTGAAAGCAACACGACAACTATCAATAGGACTATCAAATTCAGACATCCAATTTCCGTTACTGAATCGTTTGACACCGAAATGTCCATTCTCTTCCAATTTCGCAATCCTAAAGTCAGGATCTTTCACCTCATCCAAAATAACCTGAATCACTCTCTCCGTCCCATTCGCCCCTACAAGGAACAACCCGTTGCTACTGATCATCATATACTCCACCAGAGTATATGCATCAGTAAAAGCCTTAGGTTCCATACTTAACTTCCAATAAGTCATTCCATTCCATTGTAACATTGCATCATTCTCTACAACCACAAGTTTATAATCGCCTTTAGCAATTTCATCTTCGTTCACTGAACTAACCAACGATTTCCCAACAGGCAATCGTTGGCCTACAACGATTGTATCTGTCGGGGAATCAAAACTTTCCCACACAGTATTATTAAAAGCATCAACCAACACCAAGTTTCCTGATTCAAGAAGCTGCATTGAAGTAACAGAACTACTAGTACTACTACGCTTCGCAGACCAAACGGTGTGACCTGAATCATCAAAAAGAGCAAGGCCATCGACAGAAAGGTGCAACTCACCTGAATCAGATACAGGCATATCGCGATTTGCTGACCAAACAACTACATGTGATTCCGAGTGAACAATGACAAAGTAATAGGATCTTTCTTGAGATTTTGTGTTTGTTATTGCTGCTTTAAAAGTTCCATTTGGTGATGACAAGAATGATCCAGAAGTATCAATGAACTTGAAATTTGAAGCAGTGAAATTTGGAGTTAATGGTTGAAGAGAAAGAGGTCCAGAGTGTACAAGAAAACAAGATAACAAAAGGGTAACAATGAATAACAAAAAAGATGATCCCATGCTCTTAACAACAATGAAAACTTGAAAAAAAAAATCAGTTCTTGAAATCAAGAATCTTTTTGCATACCATACTTATAAGTTGCATTTTTTACTCTGTTCCGTCTCATTATACACAGAAGGTAAAGTAGCGAGTCAACCTACTTTACTTACTTGAAAAAGGAGAACAGAAAACGAATCGGAGCAACAAAAAGCTGAATCTCAATTGATCTTGGTAGCAAGGCTTACTATATGAAATGGAATTGGAGCAACAACAAAGTGTTGAATATCAATTGGTCACAATAACCAAGATATCTCAGTGGATCCTGACAACAAGATTACTCTATCAAAATATTTTTTTGTTAATAGAAACAAGAAAATGAATCGGAGCAACAAAAAGCTAAATCTCAGCTGATCTTGGTAGCAAGACTTACTATATGAAATGGAACAGGAGCAAAAAAGTGTTGAATATCAATTGGTCACGATAACCAAGATATCTCAGTAGATTCTGACAGCAAGATTACTCTATGAAAATGTTTTTTTGTTCACTGGAGCAACAAAGTGTTTGAATCTCAATTGGTCACGATAACCAAGATATCTCTATGTGGATCCTGACAGCAAGACTACACATGTCAAAATGTTTTCTTTGGAGCAATAGAGAGCTGAATTTCAGTTGATCGCGGTAGCAATCTACTCTGCTACCTAGCATATAAGTGGATTGTACTAGCAAGGCCACTCTGCTACTTACAATAACTTTTTCGAGTTTGTAAATTTAGATTTAAGACAAACTCACAAAAGTCATAACATAACTTTTTGGTTGTGCTTTTCAATGGTATGGCTATAATTTCTATAATTGAAATTGAAAAAAAATGGTTCTTTTTCTTTGTGTTGATTTGTTCACCATTATTATGACATTGATAGTAAACAGATAGTTGGTTGAAGATGCAGACACTTCTTTTAATTAAATATTTACTACTTTTTTTTCAGAATATTTGTGCTTGTTGACTTTCTGTACACAAAATGCAAGTTGAGGGCGGCGCTTATTATATTCAAACTATAATAATCTTTTTTTATTTATTATCGAATAATTTAAATTTGTATAAAGTATTGTGAGATTAAGTACTCCTTATTAGTTAGAGACAAATCTAACATTTAAAGTTTACGAGTTTCGAATTCTGATGACTCTTCACTCACATCACAACTTGGCACTCAGTTTTGCGATTGAATTCATAGTTTATTATCTAGTTTAGTATTGTACATATTTAATACTTTCTTTGTTCGTTTTTATTTATCTAATATACATATCGTTTAAGAAATTACTACGGAATATATGTAATTTATTATAGGGCTAATTCAAATTTATATTGAGTAACACTATTGATTATATGCGATGAAATGTTTTCCTACTGACAAAATTGGATTGTAAGTTTATGAGATTTGACGATTTCTTATCTGGCTATAAATTCCTAGTTTATTTATGCTATTGAATTTGTAGCTTATTATATGTATATATTTAGAAAAAAATTTGATGTGATCTTGATTAAAGTTACTAATTTTATATCAAAACTGCATAATAAATTGCTTATTCACGGGTGATTAGTCTAATTAATGATGGAGGGACCTCGATGATCTTATATATTCTTGGTGATAGTATTAAAATAATCAAATTATAGTCGTACATTCTAGAATTAAAAAAATGAAAATGATTTTAGGGAAACATCTTTGTATAAGCAGTTACAACAACTTATTTATTTTATTATGCATTTTGAATTTATTATTCTTAGTTTTATAACAATGATTTTAACAATAAGGTACATATTGTCATTATTATATATTACACCATCATTACAACCAGTAATCTGTACCTGTTTTATAAACAAACTTAATATAAATCGGCATAATAAGTATTTAAATATACTTTATTCCTTTTTAAAGAAAAAAATATCCAAAAAATGTAACATATTTTTTATTGTTTTTCATGTACTTACTCTTCTTATTGAACCCTTTTAAATTTATTTTACTACTAGAGAAATAAATGAATAGCTAGGATATGATTAGTGCGGAACCAGAATTTAAATTAAGAGGTTGAAAACGTAAAATATTTTTGAACTATTTTTCCACTTTATAAGAAATAAGTTTTGTAATGCATAAATTTAGTAGTCTGATTTCAATGTGGCACGTATTCGATATCGAGTGGAAAACAAAAAGTATATATATTTTTTGTGTGTTAGATGATGTCAATGTTATGAATAAGTATGACGTATTTATACTGCTAAATACGTTACCAACCTTCAAACCTACCCCAATTATGCCAATTGTTTTAACAATTAATCTTGCTTAATTAAAAATTAAATAACAAATATGAGTTTAATTTTTATATACTAAGTAGAATTTTATTTTTTTTAGAAGGATCAAGTTGTAATATATTTATGACTTTAAAAACTAACCTAATCTAATTTCATATGTTACCAACTTTTTTCTTATTAATGACTTTGGACAACAGTATTATTAAATACATATTGATTTTCAATTTTATTTGAACAATACAAATACGCTAAGAGTGAAAGCGCTCCCTATAATTTAAACTTTTTTTCTACTTTTATGTGGGCTATGATGTATTTAAAATTTTGCGATGATAAGCGTATTATTATAAAAAGATAAATTTGAGATATAAATTTGATCGTTTTGACATTTAAATTCTTATCATTAAAAATTGTTAAAATTATAGGTTCAAAAATAATTCTTATATATATAAAGTGCTATCAATAATCACTTTGAAATGTGTCACCCAATTTTAGAAAGAAAATAAAACAAGATATATATAAGATTCAAATTTCTAACCTCACTTAGAGAGGTGCACCCAATCATCACTGCATTATATGATATTTCAAGTGTGAGTTCACACATATACATTTAAATATTTTTTTAAAAATATAACACTATTATATATAATTTCGAGAAGAGAACTTAGGTTTATGTAAATATAATAACCCCCTCCTACATACACACTTATTTCAAATCGGAATTTTTCATTTAACACGGAGAGAAATCGCATTCATTTCATCACGTTCCGATATAATTTCAGTGGGGTAGTGACAACCTCACGTTAGACAAGTTGTCTTTGTCTTTTGGGTAATAAATTAAAAAAGAAATTATTTAGGAAAGACGTATGAAAGTAGTTGAAAGTTACATGCATCATTAATGCTTAAAAATGTCAACGCCCAAATAATATTTTATTTCCCCTTCACATTTATTTAACAAACTTAATCACATGACAAGACAAGTTAACCACAAAAGTATTTTTGGTCAAATGTTTGCGTTCTTCAACAATTCATTGGTTTCTATAGTGACATATTGTTAATGTGAAGTACTACATATTTTGGTCAACTCATGTCTTGATTTATTAAGAATATAGCTAGATTTTTGAAATTTCATTCTAACATAAGATTTTCTTTATAGATACGGATCGAAACTCATGTCTATATATTGTAAAATTAAGTTTTACTTGCTTAATAAATTCGATTTTCTTTATGTATTTTTTTCTATCTGATTCTATTCAGGATTTTGTCTAGTACCTCTCATTTCTCAAAAAAATAAAATAATAAATAAATAAAATTCTCGATATGATTGATATTCGCCCTCAAGGTATGATTTCAAGATAAAATTTCTTTGAAAGAGAAAAAACATATTTTCTCTCTCAAAACTGTATCTTATTGGGATATGCTCCTTATGTTTTTATTTTAGATATATCAATGTTTGATGGTACACAAAATTTGAGAGAGAAAAAAATTGTGCAAGTAATTTAATAGAAATTGTTTCTCTATTGTGTGGTATTGAGCCAAAGAATTACAAGCAGACTTACGAGGACATACTTTTTCTTTGGGCGTTGAGTCATATTGACTATCATCTTCATTCAATTTAATTGCAAATACTCAATATTTGAGAATTTATGGGATCAATAATACATGCGTCGTAGAAATGAAATGAATATTGCTCTAGGTCGCACGTCACAATGATTTAGTTTAGGTAGGAAAACTAGTCATAACTCATAAGAGAAATCGTTGTCCCCGTCGACCTCAATAGTTTTCTTATTATTGATTGTAAGCAGAGATAAATAGTAAAATTTATTTTATGAAAAAAACATTCTCAATTTTTTGTACTTTTATTATTGAAGAAACTCATAGATTTATGTATCAAAAAGATTTTCCAATACACTTAAAATTGACGCAAGAAGTTAATAAAAAGAATTGTAGTTTGCGCATTTGTGGGTAAACTACCTTTAAAGTTTGTGTAATATATTTTTTGGGTTTTGGAGGTGATTGATGGAGTAAAATTTGTTAGTCACAGTTCGCCCATAAATGGGCGAAATATTCGTTTTGGTCTGTGTTTTTAGAAAGAGTCCCTTTTAATATGTATGGTTCATAAAGTATCCATTTTAGAGCCGGACTCAATGGGTTTACGACCCGTAGTTGAATTCGTAATAATCAGACAAAAAAATGGTTTCTGAAGTTTGATTTCACGAGAGCCATTTATGGCCCGTACTTCAATTTTCGACCCATAAATGGGGCTTGTAGTTGTCAAACACTGTTGGAGGTGTCCCTGGTAAAATGGTCATAACTTTTTACTCCAAACACCGATAGATGCAAACTTAGTGGAGTTGAAAAGAAGACCAATAGAATTTTAATTTGATAGGTCATGGGCCATCTAATTCTTTATATGCTGAAAGATATGACCGTTTTAAGTTGATCCTTACATGAACTAATGTGGAAAACTTAGCCGCTAGGAAAGCCTTTAAACTCGACTTAGTGCTATAGGTCCCTTATGACCCTAAACCACTTTCGATACACCTCCCAAACCTAGGAATGGACCTTAACACATAAGTACAAGTATGATATTGTCCGGTTTAAGCTTATATACTTATGACGAATGATAAATTTTTAAGAGAGTTGTGAGGTGTTATTACATCACTAAACATAAGTTAAAATTTAATTATTTTTTTTAACTATGAAAAAAAAAATAGAGCA